CCAGGCTTTTTGACTGTCTGTCCCTAGCCTTCATGCCCAGAGCTCTTATTTCCTACCTCTGGGAGTCAGTACTTGTGGATGAAAGAGACTTGCTAACCTGCAAGATTGCATGGGAATCTGTTGAAAGCAGCTCTGGGGCAAGTGTCTTTTAGTGCCAGGCCAAAATATGTCACAGTAGTATAGTAAAAGTGTAATGGGAGATGTGCCAGGGCCCAGTAAGTGGGGTACTACACTGGGTATCAGAAGAGCGGGGTCCTATTCTTTGCTCTGTCACATGCCTGCTATGTGACTCTGGATGAATTGTGGCACTTCTCTGTCTCTATTTCCCCTTCATCCTGTTGACAACCTTGCTTACACATGACAGTTCTATTGGTACAATTCTGCCAGTATCTTCATAGATACACAGATAAACTCCCTCTGTGGACACTGTCACTCCAGAATGTTAAAGGTAACTTCTCAGTTTAGTTTAAGCCTGTTTCAAAGTCATGTAAACTAATCTTGAATAGATCAGGTCTCATAAAATAGGTCTCGTTCTGTTATGCCAGGATGAGAACATATCTGCTCCAGTGGGAGATGTCAACGATGTCAGTTAAAGAGAGTGACAAGTAATACATTCTTGTCCTGGGACTTCTCAGAGGTCAAATCTGTATAGGCCTCAGGTCTAACTTCCCAGAGGCAAAACACATGGACAAGGAAGCTCTGGTCTGCTGACTGTTCAAAACAAGCCTGTCCCTTAAACTGAACACCCATGCCTCATTTCAGCAGAACTGGCATAGCCTAGTAGAAAACCATAGATGCTGCTCCTTCTTTTCCCCTTCCCCAAAAGGCTTTGCCTGACCCCAGGCTCCTCACTAGCTCAGCTGAGGTCCAGCACTGCACATGAAGAACCTCCATCCCTTGTGTGCAGAGTCTACACCTGGCTTATTGCTCTTACCTCAATGTAATTGTACATGGCTAAATCCGAAATTGCATGGTCATCAGGGACTCTCAGCCTGGAGAACTCCAGGAGGCAGGTGCCTGGGGAGGAGTAATCAGTCCATTAGGGTTCACTGCTTCTCCTGCCTGCTCATGGGCTCTAGCATCAGTCTCTGATCTCCCTCCTCTCTCTTGAAGCCACTAAGTGTGTATCCTATAGCATTCTGTTGCAGCACCTCACTGCAGAGAAGAGGAGAATGCTCATCCTGTTGACTGCAGATCAGGGCACACCCATACACAATGTGAGAAAAGCAATGGCATGTACAACTCTTGTACTGCAGAGGGGTGCAGAGAAGGGGCAGTCCTGGTAACCCTGGGGATGAATTAGTTGCCCAGGAAGATGCACAATCAGTTAATTTCACACTTTCTTCTAAAGTAGGTGCTTCCCTCTGGTTTCACAGGCACTCCCCTGGGAACGCCAGTATTTTTGGTGACTGCTGATGGGTAGAATTGCTCCAAATCCCCACCCTAGGGCCTATTGTCTATTCCCAAGGATTTTACTCACTAAGATCATTGTGAAACTGGTCCATTAACTCATCAAAAACCAGGCAATCTTCAAATCCCTGAAAGACACAGCAAAGGGAAAATAGCCAAAATTTGAAAACCTTACTGTTTCCTAACCAGGGCTTCTCATGCAGATTGTAGCACATTGTCGTGGGCCAGAATGTGTTGCCACAGCTCAGCAGGTCTGAGCGGCCACTTCAAATTCTACAGACAGTGGGGATGGATCTGAATCTTTTTCTCATGGGGAAGGAAAGAACCTGTCTGTTCAGTCTTAGCTTTAATCTCCAAACCCTTAAAAACAGGTTGGGTTGTGCTCACCTCCGAGTGTTCTTCTCAGATGCAACTCTCAGCAGCTGTGGTACCTGACCTGACTGGTGGCTAGATAGGCTGACAGCAGTGTTTAAGGGAATGGTCCTGCAACAAAGAGCCAACTAGAGGTGGGCACTATCACAGAGAAGGAAGTCGGCCAAGGAGAACAATATGGTGTCAGATATTTCCTGAGGGCTTGAGGCTGGATTTCCTGTAGAGCATTGCTTGGAGCCCTTCTCTCACTAACATGAGAGTTAAAGAGCTGGCATATTATGGCCATCTTGATTGGCCTGCTTGCAATATGGCACATTAGAGAAAAGGAGGAGCCATTGGGTATCATATAGGGGTATCTATGAAATGTATTTGCTTGTGATGTACAGGTCTTTTCTTTGAATGTATTAAGCTAACATAAGGTATTTTGAACACAAAAGATGTGCTTATATGATGCAATCCAGTGCCATGCTGACAAAGTACTGCACTCAGGCTAATTAATGCTGCTCAGAAGTAGGGCTTTTAGCCCCAGTGGTAACAAGAGTGGCAGTGCATTCCACTCTGGAACTAGGATACACACAACTGGCTTTATCTCTGTGCAGTGCTGTCTTACACCCTACAGACATACCTAAAGCCGGCAGACCTGATAGACGCACTGCCTGGGGAACTGTGAACTCACCGCATTCATGCCTTGTCCATAGAAAGGTACAACTGCATGGGCAGCATCTCCCATCAGGACACAATGAGAGCCAATGTGGTAAGACGAGCACTTCACAGATATCATGGCTTGGGCTGGCAGCAAAAAGTAATCGCGCTTCAGCTCTCGCCTGCACCGAAAAATGTAAATAAATAAAGTAGTTTGCACAGAACACTGGGTGTCTCTATCAGAGACAGCCAGAGAAGCAGCTATGGCAGTTCTGGGGTCAGGAAAGCAATTGCTTATGTCAACCCCAGGATGGAAAACCAAACTGTTTCCTTGCGAAATTGTTGGAAACCAAAACAACAAGACCATTAACTTCCAACAAGCCACATATCAGAGTGGGTACATGTGATTTCATAGAGGAAGGTATCTTCTGTTCCCCACCAGGCAATGGCTTACTGTATATTTAAATCTGAGTATTTATTTAGCACTCCTATTATGCCTCCTATTAATAGTCCTACTAACCATGTTCCCCCTTCCTCCTGATATTGTGGGCTTACCTTGCATGATAATGGCCATACTTTAGCAGTCCATCTCTACTCCCCAAAATACTTATTCATATACTTAAATCCAGTTGACTTTAAGAAGGCTTAAGCATGTGCTTATGGTCTTTTATGTATAGGGATATGGACTAAGTACCTACCTGAATGCTTTAGCTACAGCAGTGATTCTCAACTAGGGTGCTTTGAGACCCTTTCAAAGGTGCTGTGAAGTGCCACACAATGTTACCACTGTTAGTCATGCAAACATGACTCCCAAGATAAACCCAGAGATTCAAATAGGAATCCATAGCGTTAAAAACCTTCTGGTCTGTTGTGGGCTTTCTGAGTTCTTTGCAACACAAAAACTGCTCTATTTTTTCTGCACTCAAAAAAAAAAGAGTGAAAACTAAGAGTTGGCCTTTTCCAATGAGTGCCTTGAGTCTAAGGAGAGGTGCCTCAGGTCTAGAAGGGTTGAGAACCATTAACATACAGTAATTGTCAGCCAGGTGTGCTCAGTTTCTAAATAGTTCTCCCTTTATAGGGACACAATATTTACTATCCACAGGGACATTAGTTCTAGCTGTGGAATGACGCAAACTATTTAGTTAGCAAATCTGAACTCTGAGATAACATCACTATTTTCCCCCTCTTTCATTTAGAAATTCCAGAAGCTGAAGCCTTAATATAGCTTCCTTTCCTTATCCATCATGTATCCCAGCATGCAGTAGTACTAGGTAGTTGTATTGATCAGCAAAGGAGCAGGAAGTCTTCCTGCAATGAACAGCCTACTCTTCTTCATTATTCTTGAGCGGATCTCCATGGTTTAGAATACATATGGGTAACTTGACTGAGCAGTAGAGTGTCTGCCCCATTCCATTATTATAATTATGCTACAAAATTAACTGCGACATACCAATGTAGATATCAAGGGGATCTTGCACAATAATTTTGACTAGACAAGTAAATTCTGTAGGCTCAACAATGTCAGCAGGAGCTCATCTGAGCTACAGTAACTTCATTTGATGCAATGCAACATGTGATATCAGAATCGGATGGCTCATCGTGTCTCATGTTTCTTGTGTTCTGTTTGCTAAGAGCAAAGATTGCAAATTCCAGAGGAATCCAATCTATGCATTTCCTATACAGAAGGAAATATGTTCAAAGCAGGGCTAAATTAAGGCAGAGACCTGCAGGGAGCTAAACCTTATTTATCCACTAGATACCTAACATATAGTTGCCAGCAAAGCCCTGTCTTAAAGGACCAGGATTAGGGAGGCATTTCAAACTACATAATTCTTCTATATTTTCATTGAGGAGATAATGTGCACCCAAATTGTCACAGACAGCACAGTTCATTATAACTTATCTGGTGAAGGACTTTATTACCTTCTGCCTTATACTATCCCAGTGAAAGGACAATAAAAACTTCCGTCTTTTCTCTTTCCAACCCTTTTGAATTGCATCGGGTGTCTGCAGAAACATGAAGATTTCTCCCAAAGAATATATAACATGCTGGGCTTCGCAGTATAGGCAGAGAGAATGGTGATCATCATTAAAACCTGAAGTCAGCAGTCCACAGTTGCAAGCTACTGTATGAGGCACCTCCATGGTGTTTTAGAAAAATACATCAATTTAAAAAAAAAAGAAACACCAAAAGTAACACTTACTCTCCAATGAGGGGAACTGAATCTGGAAAGTAGGTTTGGAAAAAATTCAGCACTTGATCACCAGTCCTCAGCTTTTCAAAGTCCTCAAAGGGCATGAAGAGAGTGCAAGTGAATGACTTATCCTGCAGGTTAGAAAGGAGACTTCAGACAACACTGAAAGATGGACATGAACATTGAACACTTTGACCTACAATATATTGCTCAACCTGAGATATCCTGAGGGTGATGCTGACAGTCTTGCGGTGGAACAAAGTTTGCTGAAGCTGCTACTTGCACCTTTTTCCTCCCAGTTTTTATTATTTTTATTATGTTAATTAAAGTTCAAAATTTGGTTGGGGCACATAGCTTTAATCCTCTTGTTAGGCTGTTTATTCTGCAATACAAGACACATTTGCAAGGGATTGTTTCCTGGTAGACAAGGTGGAGAAATAGCAGAAATGGAAAGAGGGAGGCACTGAGAAATGAAAAGGAAGGTGAGAAGCACGTGTAATGTAGGGATCATTTGGTGAGACTGTCAGGAGGCTGCTGATGTTTCTCCACTGCAGCAGCAGCATAGTAGAAGTCACACCAGCAGTGAAGGAAGTGCTGTGAAGAACCCAACTTGCTCCCCCAGCCCTCTGCCAGAATTATGGGTCTTAACTTGCTCTCAGTGAAATCACTGGCTGAGCTGATACTTATTTTGGTAGGTAGGATAAGGCCTTCAGGCTTAGTATAATTTGATACTTCGGAGTATTGGTTCTAGTTGGCTAGGGAATACCTGTCCTGGGCTGAAAACCTAACCCAGTCACTGTTCCCATGAATCCTAGAGTCAGTGAAGCATTCATTGCCATGTCAAGCTGTATCTCTGCAATGTGTTTGTTGGTGGCCTGTCCACAAGTGTTCTTGAAGCAATAACTCTGTGGACCACAGTGAGCACTCTCACATACCTCATGCATGCCATAGGACAGGTAAGGAGCATGGCCTGGCTTGTGGGCAGAGTTGGGCCTTGTCTTTTCCATTAGTACTTAGGGGGTGTACCTACATGTTCATTAATGTGCCGTAATTGGCACTACTGCACATTAACACAGATGAATGCTTTTTAAGTAACATTAATGAGCATTAGACTAAATCTACTGCACGTTGGCATGGTCTTTGCCCACTATGCTAATGTGCAGTAGAATTAGTACTCTGCTCGTTAAGTCTTTTGCATAGATGCCTCCAGGGATGATGTAACGAGATAAATAGACAATGTTCCCATAACACTGCTACTTCCAGCCTCTCAGAGGACAAACTAGGTTGTGGCTGACTGGCTCAGGCCATTTCTCCTGGAACCTTTCACTGCACCGTGATGTCGTCTTGTGAAAGGCAATGACTCGGCAGGGTAGGAGCTACACAGGCTAGGGCAGGGGCAGGCAAAAAAAATCACCTGTGGGCTGAATCTGGCCTGCCAGGCCATTCTACCCAGCCCACAGGGCACCTAAAACATTTAGAAAATTAATAATTATCTGCTTCTGTCTGCCCGTCAAAGATGACAGGAACTGGGGGAAGTAGGACCCAGGTGAAGCTGGCAAGACTCAGGACGAAGTCCAGCCGGGCTCAGCCCTGCCCCCCAATCCCTCTCCCACCTCTGCCCCCCAACCTGGAAACTTCTGCCTGCTGCAGCTTTCACTGCTTCCCTGCATGCCTCCTCCAGCACAGCTGCTCCAGTACCAAGAGCACAGGGCTACATGGTACCCTGGGGCCAGGAGTGGGAGGGGTCTGTGTGTGTGTGTGTGTGTGTCCCTGCAATGAGGGAGGGGGAGAGAGACAGAGAAAGCAATGAGGGAAGGAGAGAGAGAGAGAAGGTGTGTGCGTGTGTAGTGAGGGAGGCATAGTGTGTGTGTGTGTGTTTACAGGGTGAGTCCCACATGCACACCCCACCATACACATGCACCCACACCTCCCATTGCACTGCCATACATACAGACCACCATGGCCACAACCCCTCATACACCCCAGCCACCTTCCCCCCAACATAGCCCCCTCACTCCACCCACACCTCCACACCTATCCACCCACACACACCCCCACACCCAACATACCCACACACCCACAGCCCCCGACAAACCTATACAGTACCCACCCCCCAT